CTGGCGATCAGGAACCCAGGGAAAAACGGAGCCCCAAAACCTTCGAATTCTTACAAATCCGCGTCCAGAACCCTAGGGCCTCCACAACAGGGCCTCCGCAACCCGAAATCCAGGCGACCAGGAATCCCGAAAACTCTGAACCACCAAAACTTTAGAATTTTTACTTTTTAAAAAAAAAATAAATAAAAAATTAAAGAGTTTTTTTTAAATTTTAAAAAATGTTTAAAACAATAAAAGATCCCAGGGCCTCCACATCTCAAAATCCAGGCGACCAGGAATCCCGAAAACCCTGGACCTCCAAAACTTTAGAATTTTTAAAATTTTTAAAAATTTTAAAAATTTCAAAAACTTATAAATTTTTAATGTTTTAATTTTTTCAAAAAAAAAAAAAAAAAAAAAAAAAAAAAAAAAAGATTCCCAGGGCCTCACGCCCGAAATCCAGGCGATCAGGAATCCCGAAAACCCTGGACCAATCACAAAACTTTAGAATTTTTTTTTAAAAATTAAAAAATATTAGAAAAAAATTAAATAACTTTTAAATTTTGTATTTTTTTTTTGAAATTTTTTTTAAAAAATCTAAAGAATCCCAGGGCCTCCACAGCCCGAAATCCAGGCGACCAGGAATCCCGAAAACTCTGAGGAGAAGTCTTGGGGGCTCCGCGATTCCATTGAGCCCCTCAGATCCAGGGAAGAGGAATAGGAGGAGGAAGAGGAGGAGGAAGGGGAGGAGGAAGAGAAGGAGGAGGAGGAGGAGGAGGGAGGAGGGCCGTTCGAGCCCCCAAGATGATATCCCGTCGTGGTCGTCCGTACCCCTCCCTCCCTCCCTCCCTCCCTCCCTCCCTCCTCCCTCCTCCCTCCTCCCTCCTCCCTCTTCCCTCCTTCCTCCTCCTCCCCCATCCTGCCTCCCTCCTCCCCCTCCCCCTCCCCCCCCCCCCCTCATCCCCTCCCCACCCCCCCTGCCCCCTCCTCCTCCCCCTCCCCACCCCCCCCCCCCCCCCCCTCCGCCCCCCCCCTCCCCTCCACCCCCCTCCCCCTCCTCACCCCCACACACCCCCCCCCCCCCCTCCCCCCCGGCCCCCCCCTCCCGCCCCCCCCCCCCCTCCCCTGGCTCCCTCCCCTACCCTCCCCTCCCCTCCCTCCCTCCCTCCCTCCCTCCCTCCCCTCCCTCTCCCTCCCTCCCCTCCCTCCCTCCTCCTCCTCTCCTCCTCCTCCTCCTCCTCTCCTTCCTCCTCCTCCTCCGCCTCTCCTACTCCTCCTCCTCCTACCTACTCCTCCTCCTCCCTCCTCCTCCTCACTCCTCCTGCCTCCTCCCCCCTACTGGTCCTCCTCCCCCCTCGTGCTCCTCATTGCTGATCGCCCCCGCCCCCTTCCCCACTTCTGCTCCTCACCGGCCCGAGCCTCTCGAGCCCAGAGCGGGCCAGCCTACTCCTCTCCGCGCCCGCAGAGGCCCTGTGAGGCCGACAGTGGTGCCCCCTCGTCCCTGGAGGCCCCCCCCCGGTGGGACCGAGCAAATGGGGCCTGGGGGTTGCTCTGCACCGCCGGGTAGAGGAGGAAAAAACACACAAACATAAACTTTCGACGGTCGCGCGGAATTTCTTGGATTGGCGCTGGGCCCCCCTCCTGGGCTCGCGGCGCGCGCCAGGGGCGGCGCTGGAGGCGCCGCCCAGGGGGGCCCAGCGCGGATCCAAGAAACCCGCGCGGAGCGCCAAAAGTTTATGTTTGTGGTGTGCTTTTCTTCTTCGAGATCGGGTGCTGCTGGACGTGCCCCTGGCCCACGGTGCCCCCAGGATCTCCACGGAGGCCCCCACGGCCACCAGAGCACCCCTCACGAGGCCTGGAGCAGGGGAACAAGTAGTGACATGCGCATGGAAACTCGGAGGTCCGCGCGGATTTCTCGGATCGGCGCTGGACCCCCCCCCCCCGGCGCGCCGCCATGGGACCCCAGCGCCGGTCCGAGGAATTCGCGCAGACCTCCAAGTCTTTACGTCTGGGAGGTCCGCGAAAATCGATCCTCCAGGCGGCGGTTGTCTAAAAACCTCTGCCTCGCAGGATGGGCCCGGGCCGGGCGCTCGGCGAGCAGCGTCGTCGTCGTCGTCGCCGGTCCGAGGATTCGCGCGGACCTCCAAGTCTTCACGTCTATATCACTGTCTGGTCGCCTGCCGAGGGCCTCCTCCTCCTCCTCCTCCTCCTCCTCCTCCCTCCTCCTCCTCCTCCTCCTCCTCCTCCTCCTCCTCCTCCAGAATGGAGCGAAACGCTGGGGGACACCTTCTTGCCATCGCTCGGGCGTCCATGCCCCGCGCACGCTTCGACGGCGCGCGTGCTCCTCTCGCAGGACGATCTGGGGTGATCCTCGAGGGTCCTCCTCCTCCTCCTCCTCCCTCCTCCTCCTCCTCCTCTCCTCCTCCTCCTCCTCTCCTCCTCCTCCTCCTCCTCCTCCTCCTCCTCGAAAAGCACGCACGCGTCCGAGCGATGCCAGGCCTCGGGCCAGGGGCGCCTTCCGCCGCCCCCGAGGACGAGGCCGTGCCCCAGGTGCAGCCGGGCTGCACCGCGCCGCACCGCCGGTGCAGCGGGGCTGCGGCGCGGTCCCCGAGAGCCCCACGCACCAGATGGCCCCGTCCAGGCGGCGTGGAGTCCCCGTGGGCCCTACCGCTGGACACGTGCGAGAATAGAGCTTGTGGTAAGACGCGCAAGACGACGCTGCCTGGGCAGATATGACGGAGGACTTCTTGGATTTCTGCGAGTGAGCACGCCCGCCGCTTCCTGCTCGCACTGTAACTTGTTTTTTTTCCCTCGCGCCCTATATGGGCCCGCCCTCGTGCGAGCGGGGTGACTTGACTTGACTAGTAAGAAATCCTGGGGCACACTCTTCGTCAACCTCGGAGGGTCCGAAGGTGGCCTGGAGCTTCTGGGGGCCCCTGGGGGCCATCGGGGATAACGAAGTTCCATGGGAGACACCCAAAGGTACCCACGCCGCTACTACCCGGACCTCTCCTGGGGTGCTCCTCGATGGTCCGCGCCGAGAAAAACACGCACACGTCGCCGTCGTCGTCGTCGTCGTCGTCGTCGTCGTCGTCGTCGTCGTCGTCGTCGTCGTCGTCGTCGTCATTGTCGTCGTCATTGTCGTCGTCATTGTCGTCGTCATTGTCGTCGTCGTCGTCGTCGTCGTCGTCGTCGTCGTCGTCGTCGTCGTCGTCGTCGTCGTCGTCGTCGTAGTCGTCGTCGTCGTCGTCGTCGTCGTCGTTATTGTCGTCGTCGTAGAAATCCCCGCCTCGAACATCCCCCGGGGGCGGGCGCCCGAGGCGGCGCGCAGGCAGCCGAGCCCCGCGCGCGCCACGCCCAGCACGCACCGGGCGTCGGCGGCCTCGGGCTCGCTCAGGGCCCGCGAGGCCTCCAGCGCGTCCTCGACCTCCAGGGCGAGGCGAGGCCCACGACGAGGACGAGGAGGAGGACGAGGAGGAGGAGGAGGAGGAGGAGGAGGAGGAGGAGGAGGGCCCTCGAGGCCTCCAGCGCGTTCTCGACCTCTGGGCGAGGCGAGGCCCACTGTGAGGACGAGGACGAGGACGAGGACGACGATGCTCAGGGCCCTCGAGGCCTCCAGCGCGTCCTGGACGTCCCTCGCGCCGTGAGCAAGACTCACAGTCCGTGAGGTCTGGGCGTTGCCATTTGTTTTCCACCGGGCGTGTTCGCCCGGCTCCGGGCCTTGGGCCATTCACAGATCGATCCGGCTCGACATGCCGCAGAAAGACTGTGTCCAGGGATCTGGTAGTGATTGCTGGCAAGGTTTCGAAGCTTTTTCGCGACGTCGAACCTCAGGGGTGAGCCAAAGTCACGCCAGGAGGTGTTGGGCCGTCGTCGGCCTCTTGGGGCTGGGCACCCAGGGCCGCGAGCAGAACGGCCCGGGATGCGCAGGCGGGCCCCGGGAAGTGGCCCCGCTGCCGCAGGGCGCCGTCGGATGTCTGGAGCCCTGGCGTCCTGCTAGTCTTCGGACGAGGAAGACCTGTGATGGCCCCAGGGCCTGGACAAGAGCGCTCGGCGTGAACAAATCGCAGCGCCCGGATCTCAGGGAGGCCGAGTTCGAGAGAAAGCGCTCGGATTTAGAAATAACAGTGAAAAGACTTTGGGGACCTCTGCGCTGCCTGCCGCGGCCTGGCGCGGCCTCCCCGGAAGGTCAGACGAGTCTGCTGGAGCAGAGGTGGCACGACGAAGGTGCCCCGAAACCCAGGCACCCAGGTCTTTTTGTCGGAGCCTCGATCCTCCTCCTCCTCCTCCTCCTCCTCCTCCTCCTCCTCCTCCTCCTCCTCCTCTTCCTCCTCTGGGAGCGCCGGGGCCCGAAGGCCGAGGCCCGAGGTCGCAGCCCGAGCGCGGCGTTTTTCGCGGGCCTCCGCCGCAGGAGCTGGCCCGCACCGGAGGCAGGAGCCGGGGTGACGTCGGCAAGATTTCCGCCGCGGCCGTGGAGGAGGAGGAGGAGGAGGAGGAGGAGGAGGAGGAGGGAAAGGAGGAGGGGGAGGAGGAGGCACAACGTTCCCCAGTGCCTCATCTCCCCCTGGGGGGCTGTGCCTCCCCCAGGAGCAGGCACAGCTCCCCCGGATGGAGGGGAGGAGGAGGAGGAGGAGGCGGAGGAGGAGGAGGAGGAGGAGGAGGAGGAGGAGGAGGAGGAGGAGGAGGGGAGGAGGAGAGGACGAGGAGGAGGAGGAGGAGGAGGAGGAGGAGGAGGAGGAGGAGGAGGAGGGGAGGGAGGAGGGGAGGAGGAGGAGGAGGAGGAGGAGGGGGAGTGAGGCGGGGGAGGGGGAGGGGAGGGGGAGGAGGAGGAGGAGGAGGAGGAGGAGGAGGAGCAGAAGATGGAGAAGGAGCAGCGGTGTATAGGATCCTCCTCGCCCCGTGGGTGGGGCCCGACAGCATTTATACGTCGGCGGCTAGGCAGAGCGACTGCGCTGGCGGAAGAGCAGTGGTAGGGCATACGAATGCGAGAATTCAGCCGCAATGCTCGGGGGAGAGAGGAG